AACTATACAATATGTATTAGTATGTATATGAAAAAAAAAAATATTTATGTAATAGAAAATAATTATTATGATTCCATATCCATTTCAGATTTTTTTTTCCTTTTATTAGGCCCAAGATTAAGTCGCCAATAATCCTTCACCTTTTTTTTATCCCAATATTTTGGATCAAGTTGGAATAATGATTCTAGCACAGAATCAATTGCATCATTTGGAAGAGTTTCTTGGAAAGAGGCAAGGTGCCTGAGAATTTCTTTTTCAGCTGGAGATGCCATGTGTTTTGGTTTTTTTGCTTGTAAGGGAGGTGCATCAGAAGTGGAAGAGGATGCATTTTGTATATCATCATTATCAATTATCATAGGTATTGGTTGTTCATTTAAATTAGATTTTTTCCCTTTTTTTGATTTATTATTATCTTTGCTAATATCAGTCCATTTGTGTGAAATAATATCCTTCTTAGAGCTTGCTCTGGTTTTTATATTTCCAAGTACCTCTACATTTAATAAAGTGTAAAGCCGTTCAATACCTTTGTCATAACAGGTAAATATATTATTTAATCCTTCATCATGTAATTCTTTAAGATTTTTAAACAAAGAATGATCCAATGGTGTTGTGCCATCAAATATATTGCAGAGTTCATCTATAACTTGCCAGAGACTTTCTTTACGACTATGGGAGGCCTTTTCACTTCTGATTTTAACATCATCATCCAAAAATTCAGAGAGAAATGTATCAAGTCTTTCTCTTCTTGATTGCATTGATTTTATCTCTTTCATGAGATTTTCTGTAGAGGTAGGATTATGACTAATATTTTGCTTGATGTATTTTATTCCATGTACTTCCATTGTCTCATCAAATGCGTAATAATGGCCTTCTCTTGTAAGATTCACAGAACATGCCTTCCATAAAAGATTTGCTTGACCTGGGTTTTTACATAGGTAGGCCAGGAAATTAACAACTGCTCTATAATAATTAAATTTACCAGTTGCAGGAAATAAGGGAGCAAATGCAGCTAAATTTTCAATTTGCATATTGAAATTTCCTGTTCTGATACCAACTTTATGTCCTTTCCAATAACCAGCCCATTGGTAGAATAAATACCAAACTTTTAAGATATCATTATCTCCTTGTAATATGTCATTCACTGATATTTCATTTTTTTCTATATATAGATGAATTGCTATTCCAGTAGCAACCCATAATAATTCTATGGTTCTAGAGGTTGCTCTGTAATCTACAACGTCATCCAGTTTATCTAAAAATTTGGAACCAAGTTTAGCAGCAAGATCAAAAATTCCATATCCCGAAAATGCAGAAATCAGCACAACTAGCATTTCCCTACTTGTGTGAAATTGGCCAAGCATAGGAATCACCTCTGGGTGGTCTTTATTGTAACGTACAAGTCTTCGAAAAATAGCTTCATCTGCAACTAGATCAAGACGTTTATTGTACCTATTTTGAAATTCAGCTTCATCAGAAAGAAGATCCTCTTTAAACAGGTCACATGTAGCAAAAACGTTTCTATCACAATTAGCTGCAGGACCTGCTTTAAGTATTACAACATTAGGTGTGGTCTTGACAATTGTAGAATTTTCTAAAGAATAGTTGGTAATTTCATCATGTATATGATGTGCATCTAAATTTTTTTCATGTGATTTTAATAATTCAGAAAAAATACAATTTTTTTTATTATTCCATTCTTCAATAAATTCAGAAGGTCCAAACAAGTTATCAATTGTTCTTGGCCACATTGGTGATCTTTTCATGATATCATCCAAAGGTTCTTGCAAGTCGAGTTGGATACTTATTCGGGCTATTGCATGTAAAGAATTTCTAGTTGCATCAAATATATTTCCTGAAAAAAAAGTAGATTCTTTGAAATCAATATTATCAATTACACCAACACTCCATATTGTAGGTCCATAAACTAAATTTTTCCTTGGATCTGCAGCCATCATCAATTCATCTTCACAGCGACGCTCATGTCTTAATGTGTGAGGAAGTACACCACCAGCTAAAAGTACCTGATACAAAGAGCTTAATAACTTGGGTTTGCGGCATAAGGTTGCTAAAATTTGGGTAATCCAAATCTTTCTTTTTTTGAATGCATTGGTTATGACTACAGATGAAAGAAAAGCTGTTGTCTTTATTGTTTGATTATTGTTAGGGTCAGGGATTTGATTTCTATGTTGAAGCTGCTTTTTAATATTTATTGTTTCAACCATTCCACCAAAAAAACTTGTCAAGCAAGGTGGAAAAGCATTTATATATTTTTCTAAAGACTCAGGTTGGGAAAGTTGTTCTGAATTTTCTGAAAGAATATTTTTGTTTTTCCATATTGCCAATGCAAGTGTTTTCCCTTGATTATAGAATTCTCCAGAAGTCAAATTAGAAGCCCTTTCTTCATCTGTAAGATTCACTTTAGCTAATTTTAAAATGGTTTTTATAAGAAACAGATGAGGAACTTTGATTTCTTCTGATTGTTCTGATTGTGTAGATTCTGAAGGTTCTGTTTTTACATTTTCAGGAAATTTGGATGAATCTTTATTGAATACAGCTAAACTTGGGACCAAATAGTTAAGTACCTTTTTTTTATATTCTTGATCACTACCATGAGATACTTCTAAAATCCATTTACTTATGTATTGTAGAGAACTGGATGCATCATTATCATGATCATTACATAATTTAAATGGTGGCCCTTTCCTAGGTCTTGGTTCTAAATGACCGCCTTGTAAAGCAAAGCAGGAACAGCAGACAAATTGAGGCCTGTAGTCAGATCTGGACTTACTTGCAATTGAATTAAATGGTGAGAATACTTTACATTTATATTGTGCATTGCATGGAAGTTGAATATTTTTTCCAACAATACTCCAGCAATGCTCAATACATGCTTTTCTTCATGTAAAAAAAGCTTTGTTCTTCTTACAAAATAGGCATCTGCGAAATTGGACATGACTTTTCTCTATATTTACATCCTGTTTAACTCTTGCAGAATGAATGGAATTTTGATCATATAAAAAATGTTCATAACATACACCCAATTCATTCACTACATCATCACAATTTCTAACTGCTGTTTCATCTACCTCCCATGCTCCAACAAGCTGTCCTAAACGTCTCATTTTATTGGTGGATTTACATTGTTGTATTACCCCATCAATGTTATCAATTACAACACAATGAGTAAATCCTTCCTTAGGCATAGTATTATTAATTGGTATTTCTCTTGTTTCAAGTTCCTCTTCTTCATCAATGACATCAGCATTATCACTGGTATCACTACCATCATCAACCTCAACCTCAACCTCATCATCTTCATCTTCATCTAGTAAGAAATCAACATTCTTGGCTTTATCAAGTTGGAGATAGTCATATGCAAGTATATTACTATTAAAATTACTATTCCCTTCATCATCATCATAATCCCCTTCATAGTTATTATCATCATCAAAATCCTTGATATTTTCATCTAAAATTTCAACATCAATAGGAACTTCATCAGAAATTAATTCCATGATCTTTAATTCAATAGTAACGAAAATAGATTTAATTTAAAAAATTTTTGTAGGTATATTTGATAATTAAGAATAAAATTTTTAATTTTTTTAATTTAATAATATATCTAATTCAAACTTATCTTTTTCTTTTCAAAACCTTTCTCTTTATATACTAACATTGTGTTTACCTGGTAGATCCTGTGGCTGGTAATTTCAGCCTTTATTTGAATTTATTTTTAGATTCCATCAATATTGGTAATTTCCGGGTATCATATTAATATGTGTAAGCCAAAAATCCTTATTTTTGTCCACATTTACTATTTTTAAACCTTTTTTAAACCTTTTATAGTTACACAATTGAGTTCAGCCATGAATCACGGAAAATGAAACATGGAAACCTGATTAAGCATGTTAGCCAAAATGGTTTTTGAAAAAATCAATTTCAGCAGGCAATTTCAGATATACAATATTGTCACCGATTAAATTTGGGAGAGCGTATTTTAATTGGTGATAACAATTATTTTTATTTTTGTGTGGATCAGAATGAATAGGGGATCAATGAATTGATTTTATTATTAGCAAATAATTTTGGTTAAAGAAGATAATAGTTTAAATAAAATATTTCTATTTTATTTATTTAGTTTTATTTAGTTGAAACTAATTAACTTATTACAAAGTTACTTTACAAGTACATTGAATTCAAGCTCCTTATATACAATTCAATTAATTAGTAATTCTAATATTTCAAAATTGAAATTTCCATTCAATATTGTAATAACATTTCAAAATTGTAACAATATTTCAAAATTGTGCTGATATTTCAAAATTGAAACGATAGATATTTCAAAATTGTACTAATATTTCAAAATTGAAATATTGGAAAGACGATTCTTCCTTAATAAAGTTAAATAAATTACGATGTTATACAAATAATTAATAGAAATAAAAATAAAATAAAAAATAAAATAAAAATAAAACATATTATGAAAATAGATGTAATACAGATAAAAATAATACTAAGTTAATATATATTAATAAAATAAGATTATAAAAATAGAAATAAACAAAATAAAATCATAAAAATTAAGAATTTCGGAATTAGTTAAATTCGGCCAAAAGAGCGTCCAAATCTAATTCCGGTAACAATATTCTTTATATTAATCAACATAAAAAAACTACCCAGAATTTCGGCTATTGAGTTAAAGTATTCAAATAATTCGGATATAATTTCAGTAACTATTAAAGTTAATTTTGGCAACTATGAAAAACTATTTCGGCATTTCGGATTTGACAATGATCATTTGTTAAGAGAGATAATTTTGGCTAACATGCTTAAACCTGTGAAATGGTATAATAGAGTATGATGGTGGTTGTTTGTTGTGTTGTTAATATAAAAAATCGTTTACAAAGAAATAAACAAATGGTCGTTGAAATAATTATTTTGGTTGGTGCAAGTCTATCCCGAAAAGGAAGTTGATGATCAGGGTCCTTCTTAAAAAAGAAATGATTAGCGACGATCTTTCCTTTTTTGGGAAAGACCGGTTGGACAATGACCAAAAAAAGGAAGTGAAGCCACGTACATAATAATAAAAAATAAATTTCAAAATTCGGAACTCTTAAATTATTATTATTATTATTATTATTATTATTATTATATACAAGGGCCAAAACCAAGAGAAATTGTATGCTTTATTTGAGGATATAAACTACAAGCTAATATAAAAATTTTTTTTTCAATTTTTACAAGGGCCAAATCATGAAAAATTGCACACAAATAATTAATAAAACTTAATTTTTATTTTAATTTATTCTTATAAAATATGCTGCAAGTAAACAACATAATAAATATATAATAATTAAATAGTTCGCCTTGATTGATGATGATAGGTTGTACCAAAAAATAATTTTTTGAATTTTTTTGTCCAGGTCGGCCCACATACTAGCAATCATCGTAAGCTCGTCATAAAAGTCACAGCAAGTGTAATTTGTATTATGAAGGTGTCCTAAAAATTTAACTATTTTTTCAAGTTTTAAAATTGTCTCGTCATCGTTTGGTTTAATACACTAATATAAATTAGAAAAATTGGAAAAAAATCAAATTATAATATAAATTAATTTGTATATACTTTTATTATTGATAGGTGCCTTTGTATGACGACCAACAACTTCTTGGTGTTCCTCTGTTGGCAGCGTGAACGAGGCATCTAAATAAAGTTAATAAAAAAAGGATAGTCAAATGAATGACTAAACAAATCCAGAAAAATGCCCTCAAAAAAATTCTGATTTTTAGCAATAGACTCAGTGCTCCTACTCAAATCAAAGAAATGAGTGGCCCTAAAGTCTATCTCTTCAACTACAATAATAACCCAGTGCTCCTGACCCGGCCCTAAGGTTATCATGTAGTTAAATAATCAGAACCAATCAAAAACACATTTCCAAGACTTGCCTTAAAGGTTGCTGTGGTGCAGCGGAATTGTATTAATTGTATTTGTATATTGTTATAAAAAAAGAGGAAAAGAAAAGAAGTTCTTTTTATAAGAAAATATTACCTTATGAACAACGTGTTTTGAGTAAACCAACAAAAACAATAACAATTACAATAACAATTACAAAAACAATAAATAATAATAACAATGATAATGATAATGATAATAAAAAATTCCAAAATGTTCCATTTTAGTTAGATTTCAAAGGCTGTGTGCATAACCACGCATAACCACGCATAGCCAGAGAAAATTTTCCACTTCTAGAAAGTAACACGAGCTACTGACAAGCCACCATTATTAGCAGGGTTGGCATTGTCCAACATTGTCCAATGCCAACCCTGCTAATTATTATTAGCTTATGTTCAAAATAATGAATTATTAGTATGATTCCTCTACATAATTAATTACCGGAATTAATGAGAGGAATGTAATTTATTATTATTAAATATAAATAAAAGTCTTTCTAAATCATGAATGTTTTTATCAATTATTCAAAGTTATATAGGCAGGTTGATTGAAGTGTTAAAGACAAGATATATGATGTATAAAGCTTACAAATCATACTTGATGAATGTTATCAATTATTCAATGTCTATGAAGCTTGAAAAGCAAATTTGTAAAATATACTTATGAAAGTTTATCAATTATTCAATAGCTATACAGGTGGGTTTGATGGAATTAAAGTGTTAAAGATAAGATTGCATTTTAATTTATACATTATTTATATAGGCGGGTTTGATGGAATTAAAGTGTTAAAGATAAGATTGCATTTTAATTTATACATTATTTATATATGTATAAATAAAAACCATTGCTCAAGTAATAATAATCATTAATAAAACTTTAATCAAAAATCTTTTCTTTTAACTCATATATATTACATATTAATAACATCACCATCAGATCCTGCTAATGTTATTGATGATAAAACAATCGCTAATAAATAAATACCTTTTAATCTAATCATTACATTCTCAAATATATATAAAAAATATTAATTAATAATAGGAAATGGATGAAAAAAAATTAGTGAGGGTATGAAAACTAATCTTTAAAAATAATTACCCCCAAAAAACCAAAGTTAACTGACATTATTTCCATTTTATTAATAGCCATCCTTGAAAAGAATCTGTTATGCGAATTCGTTTTTGTTCAAATTCATTTGAAAATATTAAATAAATCTTTACACTTATTATAATAACCAGGATCTGTTACACAAATTCATTTAAAAAGCAAAATTTGAAGTTAATACTTTTTTATAAACAAAATTATGTAATTTAAAAATAAATACTTAAAGCTTGAAAATTAGAACTTAACTATTGTACTTATTATTAATATGTAAAAAAAATTAAGTCTAAAGATTGAAATTGTGTATGTTGTCCAATTTCTTAATTTATTATTATTATAGAACTTATAGAACTGGTAGTCCAACTTCATGTTAAGATTATCGCTTAGTGGTATTTGTTTACCCTGGCAAAAAATACATCAAAATAAAGGTTTTTTCATATATTTGTTATTTTTTATGATCAAAGTAACAATTTGATTAAATCAGGCAAGTTTGTGTATGAAAGCGTGATTTTTTTCTTCATTTTTTCATATAAAATTCCGTGTTGATCAAAAATTTTTTATTAGTGAGTGACACTTGACCCCCTGTAGATCCGCAATGTCCTGCGACTATTAATATATAAATTTTCATTAATAAGGATTTTTTAAGGGGTTTGCGGATTTATTATTATTTTTTTTGGTGCCACAAAAAAATTTTTAAATTTATTATACAAATTGGCAAACTTCGCAAAATTACAAAACTCAAAATAACTCTTAAAATATATGTTATATTCAAATAAAATTTATGATTTAGATTCACTTTTTGATGCTCTTTAAACTAATAGAGAGCTTTTTACAATTTTACTTGCATAAAATTTTGTAACATATATTCACAACTTTTACTTTGATTTTCTAGCTTAAAATAAATGCCATTGTTTATATTAAAATAAAAAAAGGGCTCTATTACTTTATTGTTCTATTTCTCTAGTATGTTTTAAACTTAACTCGGAGTCAGTATCTCTATTCTTTAAAGAGTTATAATCATTCAAAGTTTACTATTGAAAAAAAGATCGGCAAAAAATTGTCATATATGAAAATTTATATATGTGATCGACTATGTTTGTAAAATCATATAATGTAAGACACCCCAACCAATCATCAATGACATTCACTAACCTTCCCTCAAAGCACCAGACCAGAGAAGGCTGCTGGCATGCTAGCTGAAAAGCCATCTGCAACATTCCTAGCTCTAGGGTAAGGCTGGCTCTGTGACCCTATAAAAATTTGGCACAGAAATGTATGGGAAAATGTATGGAAAACTGTATGGAATTTTACCTGAAATTTGCATTTTTCCATACAAATTCCATGCATTTTCCCATACATTTCCATGCCAAATTTTTTATAGGGTGACCATGTCACAACTCTGGAGGAATATTAAGAGAATCTGCAACACATTTCAAGTGTAGAAGGTCACAATTCAGAGCAGGGTTTGCGGCCCTGAAATTGCATTTGGGCTCTGATGTTAAGAAGAAAGTTATAAAAATAGTGTTTATTTTGTATAATCACTTTCCTAAATTCTCTGTTTTTTTGATACTAACCAATTTATAATTTTGGGTAGGGACTGAATGGGTTTTTGCCCAATCAGTCCCCTGTCCTATAGATTAAAATTATTGCATGATTATATATATATATCTTTGTCAGCAATATGGCCAACAAGAAAAAGTTATAAAATGGTTCATATTTTTTTAGTATGTTATGTATAAATTAATCATATTCATAAATTCTCTGCTTCTCTTTGACCAACTGAACTTGTTATTTAACTGGAGGTAGGGTTGTTGATGAGTAGGCATGCCACCAACAAGATAGCAACCCAGGACTCAAAACTCTGAATTCAAAACAGCAACCCTTTCAAGTTGGAGAATTTTGAACACGAAGCAATCACTGACTTTATTTTAGAGGGTGATAACACAAGGCAAGCATCACACAAGCACCAGCTATCAGTGATCAATGCTCATAAGGTAAACAACCAAGCCTGGTCTGAGAGGAAGATAGGGAATGTTTTGTCCAAAGCCTTACAACATGTTCAGGAAGCTTTCACCCATGGGGGAAACTCCATGTTACTTAATTGTGCGGACCTGCATGTTTGTGATAGGAAATTTTTTAATTAAATCTGACAACTGCAACCAACATCAGATTTATTATTCATAAGGAGCTATACAATTGATAATCAGGAAAAATAATTACAAGTCACTCCCGTTATAAGAACGCTCCTGGGACAAATAAAAAATGTCCGTATAATAAAATCACGTGATTATAAGGCTATATAAAATAGAACATCGCCTTTTTATTACCTTTAGAGAATTGATTGGTGAGAAAGTAAAAACCTTTTTATTGTAAAAACAAAATCATTCTACGTTAATTAATTTATAGTCTTTTTTTTTTTTGTAACATTTTTGATTATAAAACAATCAAAAACGTAAAGATACTTCATCATCATTGAAAAAAACAATTCGCAAAGCAATTTTGAAAATAATAGATAATTTGTCACCATCAAAACAATTTATTGTTAAAATTGATTTAATATTATTAAAAACGTAATTTTGTAATGGAGATCGGAGTGATTTGATTGGTTCTCTTGTTATACTTTAATTTTCTTATACTCGTAGGATATATAATGAATGTCATTATAACAGGAGTAGATTAATATTTATAAAATTTGATTTTGAAAAAATGTCACTAATAACGAGATTGTCACTATAACTACTATATATAACGGGAGTGACGGAAATCATATAGATTTAAAAATAAAAATTTATTTAAATTTTTTTTTTTTGAAAAATACAAAAAAGAGTATGAACTATACATGAAGTCGAAATTAAAGCCCAAAAGTTGAATTAAAAGTCAAAATGGTCAAAAAATTAATCAAAAATTTTAAATTACCATAACTTGATTCAATATCTGGCTGTTTTAGATTACCATTCGAATTCTCTTGATAAGATGTCTAGTCTAATTCATAAAATTCGGATCACTGATTAGTGAGATATTTTTATTATGCTATGAATATTAAAATACCATTATTTGAATCACCTTTATGAGATTATTCTAATAAGCCATGTTCATTAAAGTTGGATCACTGGTTCTCATGTGATATGACATAATTTCGACCATTTCAACTTCATGTATAGTATGAATGTGTAAAACAATTATAATCAAATATAAGATTGTATGTAGTCTTCACCTCATATTTATCTGCCAACTCTTTAATTGAAGCTTGATGTTTGGGCATATTTTATATTAATCAATAGCAAGCAAATAAAGATAGCTTAAAGCCTATTCATTTGATTTTCCTTTAATTTAACAAAACATATAATAGAGAACAAGAATTCGTAACTTTACTTAACAAAGTACACTGTTCAATAGCATTAATCCTAGAGAATATATAATCAAAATTTCGTTCAAGTTTAACTTGAATTGATTATATAACACGGCGTTATTCAAGAGTTAACTAAAGAAAAAATCCATATGGAAGCCCAAACCAAACAAAGCCTGAGCAATGAAGCAAAAGCAAAATAATGATAAGAGAGTGGATACTGAATTATAAAGCACGATAGTACAATTGTGGTGTTGAGACACCAGATCTACTACTATTGGTTTATTATCACTATATTATTATTAATCGTAGTGAGAATTAAAATCTTAATTATGCTTTAAAAAAAACATTTTACATAATAATAAGGGTTGTGACAACAAAAAGCATCAAGAAATTAAATATTATCAAATAATTATTGTAAGTGATTTGCATATTGCTAGCATTCGGTTTATCGGTTGTCGTTGCCGTTGTCGTTGCCGTGGGATCAGCTGTACTTGCTGGAGTTTTTGGATCATCAGTTTTTGGCAAACCACCCGAGTAAAACCAATAATCGGCGGTATAGCCTACAATTGTATTCGTTCCACTAACATATTGTACACCGCCTGAATTAGATTGGATTGGATTGAGTTGAGTTGAATTGAATTAATTAATTAATTAATTAAAAAGAAAAAAAACAAAATTTTAAATAATTAATTATTACATTGATTGGCAGGAGGTTCAAGTCCGGAATAAGTATTTAACCTAACTATATAAGTAATATTAGATAGTTTTCCACCCTCTTGATTAAACTAATTGAACAAACAAATAAACAAACAAAAATTTAATTAATTAATTAATTCGTTCCAATTAAAAACATCAATTCAAAAATCAATAAGAAAATTATTGATTTATATACCGTTGATTGGACCAATTCCCAAGGTAAATTTCTATCTGGATCTGCTGTATCATTACTTTGAGCAATCGATTTTCCAAAAACAAAGGACTGATCACTTTTTGTTATTGCGGACCAAGTTAAATTTTTGCCACTAACCGCTAATAGAAGGATCAAAGGAACAAACAAAGAAAAACAAATGTATGTTTATCTAAAATAATTCTAAATTCTTTGATGATGATGATGATGATGATGATGATGATACAATAAAAGCTACTTACGAGTATCTTCTGAATAATGATAGACAACTTGGTAACCAGGGTCAAAGCTTTGGCCAGTGTTCTTTAGATTAATGAAATAAGTTTCAATTCCAACTAAATAAATAACATATTCACCAATCAATCAGTCAGTTATTTAGTTAATTATTGAATTGATTTAATTTGATTCACTTACCAAGAGTCCAAGAACCTTGGCCTAAATTAGAGGTACAAGTGTATGTTCTTTTACCCGATGCGTAAAGTAAAAACGAGAAGGTTGAACCACTTGGTGGCTTAATATTATCAGGTAAAGTAGGCGTTGCTGGTTGTGCTTTATAATTATAATTATTATAAAGCAAAAGAAAATATTAATCATAACCAAATAATTTATTAATCATAAAAGAGATTATTATATGTGCATTACTTGTGATTGTTCCAATTTCGTCTATTATTAAGGTCGTATTTGATACAGGTGGAGCCTTTTGAGAATGACATAAACTTAATATCATAGAAAACAACAAAATCAAAATTTGTAAATTCATCATTTCTTTTTAATTTCAATTTTCTTTTTTCTCTTATAAATTAAAAATATCGTTTTACTTTAATAAATATTTAAATCAATTACAAATAATGATATTTAATAATTTTCATAAATAATAAATAGTAAATGAAAATAAAAAAAAACGAAAAAAAAAAAAAAGAAATTTAAATTGGATTTTGCAGGAGTATTTTTTACACAGCACAATTTCATTTTACTGATTAATGCTTGCTAAATATATCACTACTAACTACTTTAAATCATGTGCATCATTCTTTCATGTCCACTGCGAACATTTTAATTTGTATTACCAAGAATTTCGGGATCGTTATTGTTTTTTTTCTTAAATGATATATAGAAATACTCCTATATAAAAATAATGAAATCCATTATGGAACCCAAGAATTACATCAGCATTATTATTAGAAGAATTTTTAAAAAAGGAACAAGGTGAAAAAAATTGCTCCTGGTATTTTCAAATTAAGTGATACCCAGATGCCCAAGAAAAAGAAATATTTACCAGGAAGAAAGAAAAGTTATATAACTAATAAAGAAACCTAAAAAGAAAAGAAATTAGAAGATAAATAATTTACTACCTCTTAATATTGGTGAATGTATATTATTAAAAACAGTTTTGATAAAAATTATTTTCTTTTTTCGGCAAATTTTCTCACATATATTTTTGTAATCTGTAATTTGTTATTTTTTAATGTTGGTAAAAGGCTTATTGGCTGAATATAATTCTTGTTTTAGTTGTTGAATTTCTTGGGCTTGTTAGTTTATTTCCTGGTTTTCTAAATCGTTTCGATTTTTCAGATAATTGTCATTCTCCTCATTCTTGAACATTCTCTAGTGCTAATGAATGTGTTTCAACATCTCGTTTTCTTTTTGCAACTTCCTCTTGTAAATCCTCAATGCAATAATCATTTATTAAGAGGTCAAGCAAGACCAATGTTATTTTGTGTATACTGTATATTGCAAATAAATTTATTAAAATATTATTTATAAGATTAAAAACTCTACATGGCATTTTCACCAATAAACTTTGGTGAAGTTTTTTATTTGTGTTTGTACCGTTACTACTACTACTGTTGCCGCAATCATTGTTAGAATTCCTATGTTCAACATCTTGTTTCCTTTGTCAACTAGTAACAGGTAATGTCATTGAATTATCATTATTATTATTAAAGTATATATATATATTATAATATCAATATATAACACAAGCCTTTGCAGATACTCTTCTGAACCTCTTCTTCATAATCATTGCTACCTCTGTAAAATTATTATTATAATTCCCCAAAAACATTATCTACAATAATGATAATGGAACTTACTTCACTCTCAGTTGGTTTAAATTCACCAACTGAATCCATTTTTGCTTCCAAATAATTATCATTTTCACACATGTACCTAAGAATACCAACCAATCTTTATGAAATCCTGCTACATCTTGATTCCAACTCAAATTTGGTGTCCCTTCATAATATACAATATTTATTGAATCTAGCCATCCTTTTACACCTTTTAATTGATCCATTGAAATAGTATTGATATGTGTTGGCGATTGCGAATAATCTTTTAAAAATCAATATCATGTCAAAATTATCTAAACCATATTGTGTTTTTTCTAAATTCGTTACTTTTACATCAGTTAATTAAAATCAGTGATGTTACATAATAATAAACTTTTTAAATAAAAAACTATTTAAATAAAATTTGTATCAGAGCCTTCAACTAAAGAGATACAAACATGAAACTAAGGGTAATTATAGTAAAAAATAGAGTTTTTTTTTATAGATATAAACTTTATAACCAAATAAGACAGGGGAAAAGGTCATTATAGAATTATAAAAGGTTTTGTTTAATTTTATTATAAAAATTTCACAAATTTTTTTAATTCATGTTTTCCAAAAAAAAATATACTCCAACACGTGCCCTTGTTTATATTTATTAGCCGATTTCAAACTCTCTTTTTTAATAATTTTATGTTAACACTTGCTAGTTAACCAACGTTAGTCTTAATATTGTTTGCTTGCTCACTAAAGCAAATAAGCATGACTTTTTACCAAAGCTCTACAAATTGTTACCTTTTACCAAAGCACTAACCACATTATCAAATTGCTTTAAACAAAGAAAATAAAGACAATGTTTTTGTATTATTTTTATTTTTTAAAAGTTTATTAATGATTAATTTTATTTAATAAAAATAATGATTCTATCGCAGAATTTTTTATTTTATTAGAATGTTAAATTATTTATTATTTTTCTCCACGAGGAGGACCGAAGCTATGCTTTTCAAGTAAAGACCAAAAGTTATCCTTGATGAAATTTTCATTGATCATACAATAGGGATAAAAATAAGGATGGTTTAGTCATTGAAAGTAACTTAATCAATCAATATTGGTGTTGTGAAAACTTCAAGTTTTTGCGTAAAGTTTTCATTTGATAATAATAATAATTACACTAAAATGAATCACGTAAAGTACCGAATTCTTAATCGATGATTTTATCTACCCTGATCATGTATCACGTTATAAATGAGTGTTTTGGAACTGAATTCGTGTTCAGCAAAAAGAAAAACTTGGCTCCATGGGAACAACTGATGAATAATGGTTGTAACCGTTGATTATCTGTACTTTGTCGGATAATCGGTGAATAATCAGTGAACATCATTCGGCGGATACAACTATATACTACTAATAAACAAAGAAAGAGATTGGGATACATAAGAAATATATATTTATTGTGAGATTTTATATTTTAGTTGACTTAATGGCAGTGAATTTAACGTAATAGTTTTACAACTCTGGTCAAACAACATTAATTCGAATACATAGCAATCGTTAACTATATTTATTAATTAATTGTGCAACTGTAAATTATATTATTTTTTTTGTTCGTCAGTACGTTATAATTATTGTTATCGATTAATTTTTTTTTTTTTTCCCCAAGTTGAAGTTTATTTTTATTAAAGTATAATTGTGTAAAATATAATAATAAAATACAAACAATTAAATAAAAAAATAAAACTACTGCCCCTGCTACTATTAATCCAAAGAAAAAAAATTTGGAGTGCATGGCCATTTAGTAACTCAAAAATCGAACCAGCTAGGCCTACTTAAAGTTAATGCCTATGCACCTAACTGGTATTCTCGATTCAATGGCTAGTTAACTATTACTATAAAATCCAACCACTCGCCTCCAAATCTAATTGAATGTAATATCCCTCTTTTACCCAATTCTAAATTGTCATTAAGGATATTATGATTATTAGATATTGTAGATACATAATTTAATGGTTTCTTTTTATGTTTTTGCTTTCTATATTGTTATCGATTAATAATAACATTAGTGATGGTGGCCGAAACTACCTTACTTACTGGGTCGAAATCGCCGAAATTAATTGGACGAAACTAATTAATAGCTAAAAAATTTTTTTTAAAGATTTTTAAAATAAAATAGATTGATTTAGATGCTTATTTTATGTCTGCTATTATAAAAAATATTGGGATACCATAGTATTGGGCGAAACTGCCTTTTTTTCAAAAATAGTTTCGGCCACCATCACTAAATAACATCCTTTATCAATAATCTTGGTTTTAGCAAATAGCTTGGGTAATTAGAAATTTTTTTCCGAAAATCTGTTATTATTTTATTAAATACAATCCAACCTTGTCGTGGAAGACCTCGTCACAACAGACTATATATATAATTAACGGATTTCGATATGTTTTTATATGTGAAGTAAAAATTTTAAAAATCCGTCATGACAAGAATCTAATTATAGTCTGCAGTGCTGTGACAAGTTTGATTGTATGCTGAAAAATATGCTACTGTTATCAGCAGCATAGATAAAAATCCAATTATTGTCTATTGAGGTCTACCAATCAAAATAATTAAAATCACATTGCTTATCAGAACATTTCGAAAATATGGCAACGTCATGCTGGACTACATTTTGTTGCAAATTATTTACAACAAAATGTGGTACACTTTTGTCCAGCATGGCGTGCCATATTCTTATTAACAAATATTAATATTCCATGATTAAAGATGTACTGTAGATCATTAACAATTTGGATGTTAGGATTGAATGAAATAAACGAATTTTAGAGCAACTTTGTTATTAATAAAAGTTAAAATCTAATACCCACTCAGGAAAAGTTATTTTCTGCTCAGAAAACAACAAAAAAAGCAGAACATTTGTGTAAATTTTGAAATGGTATTATATATAGTCTGTGCAATGTCATTTTTCTAAATGGTACTTTTTCGATTTTACAATACTCTTCCACGTATAAATTGTCGTATTAGATACGTGTAATGCTAATCTATCCATAAAAGGATATCAACTAATTTGTTACAAACCCCAAACTCTTTAGGAATGTAATAGTAATGATGAAATTTGAAGTGCATATGTGCGACTTTTCATGTACGTAAATCAATCACATCTTAGAGAAAATTGATCGATTATCAAATATAAATTTTTTTTTTTTGAAAAAAAAAAAATCTAATTTTTAATTATAATTTTAATTATTTTAATTATATAATGAGTGAGGAAAATACTTTTCTTTTTACTTCAGAATCTGTCGGTGAAGGTCATCCTGGTTAGTTAAATTTATTAAAATTTATTGAATTTCATAATAACCAGTTAATATACAGTATATAAACTTACAATATATAATTGTTTAAAAATTAAGATAAAATATGCGACCAAGTATCCGATGCAATCCTAGATGCTTGCTTAAAAGTTGACCCTTTTTCCAAAGTTGCTTGCGAGACAGCAACAAAAACTGGGCTTGTTTTTGTATTTGGTGAAATTAGTACTTCTGCCTCTCTTGACTATCAACGAATAATACGTGATACTATTAAACGTATAGGTTATGATGATTCTTCAAAAGGTTTCGATTATAAAACTTGTAATATTTTGGTGGCAATTGAACAACAATCACCTGATATTGCTCAAGGCCTTGTCCGACAAGGTCAAAATCTCGAAGATATCGGTGCTGGTGATCAAGGTAACTATCTAATACATCCAATATTTGAGAAAAGAAAATTATCACATACAAATAGGATTTCATTTTCATTTTAATTAATACATAAATAAATAAATAAAATTTATTATCTTTATTTTTTTTTTTCAAGGCATTATGTTTGGATACGCAACTGATGAAACTCCCGAATTAATGCCACTCACAATTACACTTGCACATAAATTGAATAAAAGAATGTCTGATCTTCGTAGAAATGGCAATTCTTGGTAAAAATATCTTTTTCTGGCACTCACACACTCTAATACTCTAATCTTCACACTTGCACTGACACATTCTCTTTGCACTCGCACCATTTTACATCCATATATAATATTTATATAGGATTAGACCAGATTCTAAAACACAAGTTACTGTACGTTATAAAAATGACAATGGAGCTTTAATCCCCCTTGAAGTTGATACAATTGTTATCTCTATACAACATTCACCTGACATTACTTTAGAAGATTTGCAACAACAATTAAATGAACATGTTATCAAACCCGTTATACCTGCAAAATATCTTACCGAAAAAACTGTTTATCATTTACAGCCATCTGGAAAATTCATTATTGGTGGTCCTCAAGGTGATGCTGGATTAACGGGACGTAAAATCATTGTTGATACGGTAAATAATAATGATTGGTGGAATTAATTTCATTTCGTTAAATAATTAAATCGTTAAATAATTAAATCATTATCTAACAAATATATATATTATTTGTATCAGTATGGGGGACATGGTGCACATGGCGGTGGTGCATTTTCTGGAAAAGATTGGTCTAAAGTAGATCGTTCTGCTGCATATACAGGTTAAATTAGTAAATAATAATCTTTTACTGAAAAAAATAGTATATTAAACTTTTTATTATCTATCAGCTCGATGGATTGCCAAATCTATTGTAAATGCTAAACTTGCACGTCGTGCCCTTGTGCAACTTTCTTACGCAATTGGAGTTGCAGAGCCACTTTCAATCTTTGTTGATACCTATGGAACATCAACTAAAACTGACAAGGAACTGTTGGACATCATTAAAAAGAATTTCGATTTAAGACCAGGTGTTATTGTGCAAGAATTGGGTCTCCATAAACCAAATGGTTGGTCTTATGAACAAACTGCTTCATATGGACATTTTGGTCGTGATGAGGTAATTAATCATCGTCATCATCTTTTTTTCTGAGGAAGTTTAAGTATCTTTATTTGTGGATGATTATAATAATAATATTATTATTATTATTTTTTATTTTAATACATAGTTCCCATGGGAAAAACCAAAGGAATTGAAATTATAAATAATTAAAATTATTTTTTATTGTTATCATTAAACAATAATGCAAGCAAATAATATATTAATATTTTCTTCTTTTTAACATTAAAAGTAATTTTATTTAATTAATTAAATTTTATTTATTAATTTATTAATTTATTTATTATATTGAATGAGTATATGCAGTGAGGATGTAATAAATCAAAATATAATACTGTACATTGTTGGTTGGATAGATC